GGCTTGACGACTGTGAAATGGGATGAGACATATTTTACAGCCGTATTTTCCATTTAATGTTAAAATTAGGACGAGATTATACGTGGTTGTGGAGTTTTTCTGGCATACTCTCAGGAATGCAACGAGGTGGAAATCCGGCGGGTCGCCAGATCCGGCGGATCACCCGAAAAACCCTTATGACTTCAGGCTGCAGAGGTGCTGTCGACAGTCATGACGCTGTTGCCTACATTGAGTCATACCTATGACCTCAATGGCACAGGTATAAGAACAGAAGCTTCATACCAGTATCAGATAGGAAATCAACCATTCCTTTGCCCACAGTTTACCTCCCCAAATGCGTGACAGAACCCCCAAGGGGGCAGAGGGCCACTGCGTTAAGTTGCCTGTCCACCATTGCACGCATCTAATTCTACCACTATCTTGTGGAGGTAAGTGTTCAGCCGCGTCATGCCAGTGCGGACCGGCATCAAAACGTTCGCTTGCCTTCTCGCCCGACTCGTACCACACGCGGATGTGGTTCCTGCTAATGCCTGGCCGTCGTGTTTGAGTACTGTCGCAGCTCTGTGGACATCGGCTAAACCGTGGCTGTTGGCCAACCGCCAGCAGGTGGACACCGGCCGCGATTATACACTTTTGCTGGAAGCTTGATCTGTGCCTCAGGCGGGGCAGTATTTGGTTGACTTTCCCCACCTACGTATACTCGCCACCCCCACGCCAGTAAGGTATCCGTTTGCGGCAGATGCGCCGCCATGCTTGCGTCAGTCAATTATAGCGGCCGTGTTCGACGGGCTGCAGCTTATCGGCCATGCGACGTCACGGATGCAGTAAATTGCTAGTAGTGATCGATCGTTCTGTACGATCGTTCTGTATGGGAACCAAAGCATATTCTTTTCCCTTCTCGTGTGAAAGCGGAGGCTACTGTTTGTTGGTCGCTGACTGGTTTCTGCTAGCATGTTGAATCCTCCTTGGTATCTGCTGTCAACAGTGATGCGATCTACTGGGATACTTCTTGCTCTCCTCCATGAAGCCTGTGTATTCTAAATCGGACCAGTCAGACACGTAATTGGTAAGAAGAGATTGGTAAACCAAGGTTATATTAGGGAAGCTCATTCAGGCGCATAATCTCGTGGCATTCGTTATGACGGCGCACTTTTGCGGGTGCGAGAAAGCCCCTCTGCCGTCCTCGTAATCGGCGGTCGCAGCCGCAGCTGTAGTTCTGCTCAGCCAACTCGCCCAGTCTGGGAGCAATAAAGCTAATGATGGTAACTTGGTATCGAAACCAAACAAAGTCTGCTGTTCTGAGAAACGCATTCGATTTGGGTATACGAAACTGCTTCCGGTTTACAAGTGAGCATATACTCCTCCCTCGCAAACCCTAACTCCCGATTTCGACACTGAAACAACACGCAAATTTGCATTAAAACACTTTCTTTTGGCATCTAGCTCTATGTATGAATAAACACAACCCCCATTCTCATGCCCGGCTATGACATTGGCCACTTAAGTCTTATAATCAGCCATATACGCCACCTCAAACCTGAGACAATCATGCCTGTGGCTAAAGGACATCTTTTGCGCGTGAGCGCCTGTCGAATTAGTGCCGTGTTTAGCATCGAGGGTTTGCAAGTTTCATATTGTCAAAATGTGAGATTTATTGGTTGTATTGGCCTTAACCACTGCCCAAGTCAAGAGGACGAAGGTCCCAGTTCTTATATACACAACAGAGATGTCCATGTGGGTCCGGACGCATCCTCGGTCTGGAGCGGTCTATTGTTTGACACATATAACGCAACGATCAACCCCGCCATACAACGATTCACTTCGAATAATGCCGCACTCACATACAACGATTCCGATGATCTGACGAGCACACGGTCATTCAGCGGTCGAATTGGAACCGACAGTTTCGTTCTTTCTCTGTGTAATGGCCCTAAAATTGAGGGCGCTCTTAAGGCCCCTGGGATCAGCCCTGCGAGTACGGTCATCGGGTCTGGTGCTTGGGGGGCCAACTGAGGTATGCTGGCCGGCGGGCCTGAGGAGCTGCTGCCGCAGTCTCGACTGCAACACCTGGCCCGGCCAAGAGATAGCGAACCACAGATGTCGATGTGCTAGGTATTTCTAATAATGACGATGCTGATATGAGCAGCCGATGGCGTCCC